TAAGTTTATGCAAAATTACATTCTATTAGGATATCATCTGAAACTTTATAATTTAACAAGCTGCTCTATTACACGTGTTTTCACACTACCATGATAACGGGTAATTATTAACCTATCTATATTCATACGCGTGATTTTGTGTAATGAAGTTGAATTGTGTTAATTGTTTAAGTTCTTCAGTGTTGAACCATACCTAGAATAAATCTATTTAGACTAAGTCTACTGTCAATCAAATCATGTAAACTATAATTATACGTGTAACATTTATGTAAATATAAGTTCGTACGAAAAGAATATGGTAATGGTATTTTATTATTTTAAAAATTCAGCTACTTTATAATGTTATTCAAATTGTTATTTCAATGTATTGTCAAAGTATAGACATTTTGTTTTTATTTAATCTCTATATATTAAATATTTAATAAAAAACTCAACAGCTAATATAACTATATAATAGTGAATTATTATATTCATATTATTTTAGTTGTTATATATTAAATTCCCATTTTTTCAAAAACGAATATAAAGTTAAATTCAATTACAAGATTAATTTCGTTATTATATTCATTGACTTTCTCATATTTCTTCATTATTAGATGGCTACAAATTATATAAGGGCTATTATTTACAATATTTGATACTTATGGTTAAGATATTATAATATATTAATTTATAAGTAAAAATAACGACGTTTCTCATATTCTTTAGACAAAACTCTAAATATGAGATCTTAGTAATTAAACTCAACTTATTCAACTTATAAAATATATTACTATTAAATAAAATGTAAACTAATATGTTTACAGTAAATATTATTTTTTTAAAATTCATATATTATCAAAAAGGCTCCATCTTAGATTACGGTTTGTCTAAAATTCAATTAACCTAATTGAGTCATGCGTAACCACCTTTTTTAACACAATTTAGTCACGGGTATTGATTTAAAAGTATTATATACTACATATTTCTGTTATACTACGACACCTTAAAACAATATAGAAAAAAATGTAATCATTCTTGTTTAGCACAGTACCATATCGGTTACAATTTCCGAGGAATAGTATAGTATTTAAATAAGTATATTTTGTGAAAATATGAATAATCAAGAATAAAACTTAATGTAATTAGAAAACATATCGAACGATACATCATTTTTCGTGTTTAAATTATATTAAAATAGAACTATTTTCATAACACAATTCAAATTATATATGATTAGTCTTGAGTACAAAATATTACTTATTAATATTTGATTAATTTAAAATATTATCCTTTTCACGATGAGATTAAAAAATATTCTTCAAACGAAATTTTAAATTTATTAGATTTTGTATAGAAATGTATTTTATAGTAACTTGTAAGGTTATTGAATTCGTTGTTGGAATTGCCACGCTCTTTAATATCGGATTATAAATATTACCAACGAAAGTCAAAATAGCAAGTAGTAGGTATTCAAGCTTTTGTAGATTTATGTATGCTAAATGCTAAGTTGCATAAACATATGGCATAATACATTTTTCAATAATATTAAGTTGACGCGTTGGAATATGAACATTATTTATTTATTTTTTTGTCAATGGTTTTTGCTGTGTTTATAATTTAAAAGTGGTGATGAATTTTCATTGTGTGGATGTTAGATACCATGAAATAGAATTTCCTCCGGCAAACATTTTTACCGAAAATTATTATTATTATTATTGTGTATTCTCTGTGACAATAAGTTGCGTTTGTATATTGTATTAATCTCTATGGGGTATCTTGGACACGATGCAATAGTAGTGTAATAATGCGAACAATGCGTTATCGAAGTTATAAAAGATGACCACTCAGGAATCCGGACTAAGCCGACATAGTGGGTGGTTGGAGACAATGAAAAACAAAGTATATAACGTTGTTGACAGTTTTAATAAGTGAGTTCCAGGATCTAAAAGCTTTAAAAAGTCCCTTTGCAAAGCTTTGTCATGGTATACAAAACACGTCATGTCGAGCAGTCAACGTGTAATTACTATCATGTTTATTATTAATTTTGATATTATTAATGTTTGTTATTTACGTAATAGAATAAATACTCAATTTTAATGGAATAATTTCATGTAAAATTAATTAATAATTAATATATTACTAAAATAAATGCAAAACAACGACACCGCAAGGTCAGTCGTTGAAAATGACAGAAAAGTGTTAAATCCATTATTCTATACAATGTGTTGCGTATTGTTACTTCAAACACATATACATATATGTAATTATATACAGTTATATACAGTTATATACAGTCATTATATACAGTATAAAGATAATAATTTCTCATTAGAAAGTAAAATATTATACTACCTTTTCTATTAAAATAAGTTAAAAGGGAAATTATTATTAATAGTTTTAACTAGCTTGGTTTTTTTGTTCGTGGTATATTATTATGAACATATGAGTGTACATTTTAATTTCTCATTGAAATAAAATAAAAGGTAACTAACAGTTTTATGTTTGTTTTAAAATATGACTTTTATTATAAAATTAATAGTTGAAATATATTTAGTTAAATATTACAATTTTACACTATTATGGAAAATTTGAAAGAAAAAATTTATTCCGGAAAAAAAAAACTGGATAAAAATATGAAAGTATATTGAACAATACAAATATTTTATATTTTTATTCTTCGGCATATTTTTAAAGTAAATACTCAATTGTTTTTATTTTATATTTTTAAATATCTGGATATTCGAAATCATAGTACTAAATAGTTTATCGTTAGATATACACGGATCAATTATTATTAATAGTTAAAGCATGATATTTCTGTACGCAAAATTTATTATGTATACATATGCCACGATGTTCATTTATTGTGTAATCTATATTAAAGCTCTTAATACACGTGTCACGTTAAATACGTTTTTATCGAAAATGTATGTCTATTTTTATAACGATAAAATTAGTAATTCTGAGTTAAGTACTTGAAGTATTAATAAAATACTATTTGTATAGAATTAAGATAAGGTTATACGTTTTTATTTTGGGTTTGACACGTGACACGTGACACATAAATGCAGTGAATTTACGTTTATTAAGAGCTCTAATTTATATCATATTTTACGCGAATGAATTCATTTTGAAAATCTGTTTAAAAGTCAACAAGTAATCCAGTGGATTAATGAAGGAAATATATTAGGTTATAAATTCACTACGTCACTACAGCAAAAGTTTACGGAATAAAACACAGTATTATTTAATATAGATTAAATTGTAATAAACTTACCGTAACGTAACACAAATCTATCAATACTAAAACTCTATATAAATAAATACATTTTATTCTTTTACGATATTTTCAACCGTAAAATATGATATGTACATATTAGCATAAAATGAATAAAAATTCCATTATGTCATCAATATTTACATGATTTTCAAATAAAACCACCGTTACTTGTATGTTAAATATGTGAAGCATTTATTTTATCATACAAAAGAATTTAAGGGAAATCAGTAATTCCATTATCGTCGTAATTTATCTAAATATTAAATATATTTTCCCAATACTCGAAAGCAAATTTAAATATTTAACATTAAAATTTATGAAATGCAGGCTAAGCATTTTTAAATGGACATGGATATAAATTCCAATCAAAATAAATTTAATACTTGAATTTTCACTTTTTCGTATCATTAGAAACTTATATTAATATACATTAATTGTTTTTAAACATTATAAATTGAAATATTTTTTGAATTTAATATTTTATTTTCGTAATATAATATATTTCTTACATTTTTTTTTCGAATATACTATTTAATTTTATTAAAAATTTAAACTATATACTAAAATATCTCTATTATTGAATCTGCGTAAATATTTTATTCTTTTAAACGTGGAAAATGTCTTTTTTGGCTTCTTGTGTAGTCTACGTAACATTTTTAATAATTTTTAGACAAGATGTTAAGAAACTGTATTCACCATTCAATTCTAATTGTATTATTTTTGACTTTACATTTAATTAATTAATTTTTATAAATTTGACCTAACCGTTTAGGAAAGATATATAAACATTTTTTAAATTTATATTATTCTTAATTCCTAGTATGTAGTATGATAACGTTCGAAAGTGTCAAGTTTTCTATGTCTCTCTTTCGTTGCCTTGGTATACTTGTAAAAAAATTTATAAGAATATCACTAAATATTGAAAAAAATGGGAGAATACAACAAAATTAGAATAAATTATTGTTATTAATATTAAATAGCAATGTAGTGTCTTTAATAAATATACTTTTAACTGTATATGGTTATGTATATTTATTATATTTAAAACATGTATATGGTACATGTAATCATACATTTATTTCCAAATATCATTATATTTATAATTTAATGGAATATAATTCAAAACTGATTGATAAATTTAATGTTATCAAATTTATCGAGAATACTCATACTCTACGTTTTGAATATTATAATAATATTCACAGTGCTCGACTTGAGGGAGGCGCAGGAGAACGATGTATTCCAACTAATTTTCAGAAATTTTAGCGTCCCCCTACTATTATTACACTATAATCATAACGCTCAGTCAGTTTTGGGGACGTTCTTTTTTTTAAAGTAAATAGAGTCCTCCTTCTTTAATTTTGCCAAGTCGAGCATTGAATATTCATGTATTATGTACGTATTAATTACATATTTTTTTGTTTTTGATTATTACAGATCCAACAACTTATGCATTACTAAACTACAGCTCATAATTATGACAAACAAAAACCATCGAGATGTATTCCAACAGAATCGGAGCTATTATTTAGCTATGAAGATTTACGAAAAAGTTTTCAACAATGTGACATAATATACGAGCCATTGGTTTTCAATCGTAATTTACATATTATGATACAAAAACTTCGGTAGCAGGGATATCCAGTGATGATCTCACGACTATATAAAAACATGTTAAATTTTCTATAATATTCTTCTTTTTTTTTTTTTTTGTTAATCTCTAAACCTGAGCAATACTTATTATATGTATGTAAATACGTAAAACAAACAAAACACACCAAACTGTGATATATCTTCTATATTTTTATTACGTTAAACTGCTTAGACAGTAAATTTAGTTTTCCAAAAATATTTATTATAGTTTAAAAATTATACTTACGTGCTATGAGCGAAAGCCAATACTTTTGCCCTCGGCTTATCGACTATTTAGCTATTGTCGGAGCACATCCTAATTCTTCTAAAAGAAGATCTTTGTATGAATTACAAAACTGTAATGAAGAATATAGTAGTGGAATCAGTTCAACTTCGGTCAATAATGACGACAACTTCTTTATTCAGGTATTACTTAATCATTTTGTTTTTAAATTTACCAAATTATTTTTTATAATTCATTTGGATTGAGAAAATCTAATTTAAATTATTTTTTAATTTTTAAATTAGGTAGAAAAATATTTTTACATAAAATTAATTTTCAAATATTTTTTTTTTCATTTTTTAGAGAAATTATCATTTAAATTAAATTTTGTTTTATTTTCGAAACAAATATAATAAATAAAAGTATAATATTTAATTTTGCAATGGAGTTGTAGTACGCAGATAAGAGTATTATTTTCATAATAATGATCATTGGCGGAAATTCATAGAAAAATTTGGGGGCTACAATATTTTTTTTTTAAATATATGTATGAAATTCAAAATTATGAATACTTTTGCAATAATTTTTAAGAGGACTTGATAAAACTTTTAGAGGGCTAAGCCCCCAAGCTCCCTTCCTTCGATTTCCGCCAATGACAGTGAAGTGCAAGAATATACTTGAACAAAAAATAAAAAATAAATAATGGGTTTTTTAAAATTGGTTAGAAAGTAATTTCATCGCAATACTGTCTATAATTAAGACTCTATAACAATAAAACCACAACGGTCTATCCATGCTATAAAATCATTCTTTACAATAACTTGTAAAAAATTAATTTTTCGTTTTATATATCAATAAATCTAGAATCCAGACTTACTTCGAAGATATCCAGCAGATGATCATAAAGATTTTATACTACCAGAAACTATGTCATATTTTTGTCAACCAGAAGGATGTGTTTCCTTTAGACGTAGTCGATCAGAATCGAACAAAGTAACATCATTTGTATTTACACTAACAGATAAAGATACAAGTTAGTTAATTTTACAAAGACGTAACTTAAAAAATATTAGTATGCATTCATCATATAATACTTATTTTTTAATACATTTTTTTTTTAAATAGCTCGAACTAGGTATGGTGTTTGTGTAAACTTTTATAGGCGTGTTAGCCAATGTTATACAAACACAAATACTTCAAAGGATCTTGACTCGAGTGAAGATCAATATTTAAAAAAACACCAAAAGAATCATTCATCGGTATTTTTAAAATGGTAATGATTTTCATTTCATCTTCTGAGTAATATTTTAATTCCTATGGTATACCATGCATTAAATTTTCTTTAGAAAATAAATAATAAATATAACGGGGCCATTATACATGATTATTCTTTGTGTAATTTTTTTCAAATAAAACAGAGTATAAGTCTACCGTATAAATGTTTGACTTATTATTTTAGCGATTATGACCGGTTAATAATATGATTTATTAGTACAAGTGCATCAAAAATAGACTAACTTTTTTAAGCATCTATTAACTAGACGTATAACATACTATCTAAATATAAAATATTTTATATAAGTGTACCTCTCCCGAGCAACTTATTTTATGATAATAGTACAAAATTATATTCTACTCTTAATTAGTTATTGATTTAATTTTTTTTGCAGTCATTCCACAAGTTCATTTAGTAGATCAGTCTCTGAGGAATATCCTACAAATAAATTAAGTGATATGTCTGCAACTAATGTTCAACCACAGCCAGTAAGTCTTATTTCCACGTTTAATTATAAATTAGATAAAATTTTTAATTTATAACTTCCCTATTACATATATGTATTACCAAAACATAATATAAATAATTATTTTCATAATAATTAATATGTTTGTATTGCTAAATAATTTGTAAAAATACGAGGATTATAAGTCACTTGATTTCATGATGTAAATCTAATTACAACAATTTTAATTTTTATGTTTCAGGAATCTCAATATTTATATTCTTTAACATCATTGTGCCTTCTCTCTCATCATCCATTATTTTCAAATTTTCGTTCATGTTTATTTTATTTAAAAAACATAATTGATTCTTGTAATAAAAGAATTAATCGGAGCAGAAAAAAATATCATAAAAGGTACATAACGATATTATTATGCTTAAAAAATGTTAAACTAGCTATTTTTTAATAAATTTTAAAATATTTTACTTACAGTAAAGAGTGTATATGGAGCTTATTAACTGGATTATTAACTCAAGCGAATTCGCCCAGGATTATACAATACATCAAAGAAATTGAAATGTGGATTTTACGTTTACTTAGCACTCCAGTTCCAGTACCAGGAAAAACAAAAATCGAGGTAAAAAGAACTATCTGGTATTAAATAATATTAAAATCTCATTTATTTTGATTAAAAATGAAAATATAAAACAATAAACAATATAAAAGTTCATAAAAAATAAAATTAACCATAAGTACTTGCTTTGATAGTTTTCAATTGCTTTTTATTTTAAGCTTGTACGGCTAAAACATCATAACTATTATTTTTTATTTCTATTTTTTTTGGGTTTTTTTTAATAATATAGTTTCAAGTAAAGTCTCTAATAATCTATAAACGCACTAACAGTATTCCGAAAGTTTATTAACTGTTTAAATTATTTCATTTTATATTAATATTAATGTTGTTTGTATAGGTTTATTTATTTTCGCAAAATCAGTGCCAACCACCTTTAACATTTGCATTGCCGGACCATACGAGATTTTCATTGGTCGATTTCCCATTACATTTACCCCTAGAGTTATTAGGAGTAGATACGTGTCTCTATGTACTAACTATTATTTTATTAGAAAATAAAGTAAGTACAATTTATGTATTATCTTTATTCAACTAATATTAATTACATGAGTACATTTTATTAATAATACAATATATTTTAGGTCGTCTTCCAATCTAAAGATTATAATGCACTCTCAATGTCAGTAATGGCTTTAGTTGCACTTATGTATCCTTTACAATACATGTTTACTGTAATTCCATTGCTGCCCACTAGCTTACCGAAATCGGAAATGGTAAAGCAATTAAACTGAATACATTTTTTGTTTGTAATGTTAACCGTCATATTTCTTACGAATTTCAGCTATTTGAGAGTCCTGTGCCTTATGTAGTTGGAGTTCCATCCAGTTTTTTTACAACAAAACGAAATTTCCGGTTAGTTTTTGATAACATATAAATAATTGAAATCGGTTCATCTGGTTTAAAATGAATTGCATTATCAAATGTCTTACTATAAATCAAATTTTGTTCTCCAGATTTCCTAAAGACGTTTGGATAATAGATTTGGATTCGAATAAAATAACTCCACCAATAACCGTTAACCGAGAGGATGCTATACCACCTTTACCTAAATCGGAATCGATAACATTGAAAAATAACTTAAAATCTGTAACTTTACTAATACCATAATAGCTCGACTTATTAATGAAATGTGTTATTTAATTTTTATTAAAATAGGCTTTAAATGGGCTTTCCCGAATTAACATAAATAATAAATCAACGAATTACTTTCCGGAAAACGAAATTATGTCAATAACACGGCCTTCTATCGATACAAATACTGGAGAAGAAGTTTTAAAAAGAAAAATCGAAAACATAAAATTCACAAAAAAAAACGAATACGTCGATAATACCACTAATAAAGAAATAAGGTAAGAAAAATTATTGTATAATATATTATGATCTGAATCAACGGCAAAATATCGCGAAACCATTATATTTCATGGAATAAATATCGCCAGTATACATATCGTCACCTTGAAATATAGTAGTAATTTAATTATAAATAATATATTTTAAGCATATAATACTGTTATATAGTAGAATTGATATAAGTATTAAAAGAAAAAATTAATATATTATATATTATATTCATTGAAATACCATGAAGATAATCTTCAAAGTCTAAAATAAAAAGGTAAAAGGTGAATACGATTAGATGAGATAAAATTGAATGAAATATACTGACGCGATAATATTGTACGGCGGTATTATTCCTTTACGATATATTGGTTTCGCGATATTTTAGTTACGATATTTCGGTCACGCAATATTTTACCGGCGATATTTTGTCGGGGTACCTTATGATCTGCAATTAATAAAAACATTTAGAAAACTATATGCTATTTGCTGTAAATAAATGTAGATTTTATACACATAACAAATAATAAAATTAAATAAAACAGGTAAGTTATTTGTTTGTATTTAAAATAATCATTGAATGTGTCATCAATTCCAATATAAATCCCTTAATTGTATTTTTTACAAAGACATAAACAACAAACATATCGATAATATCTAATAGGTAATAAATATACTTATAATAAAATCGTCTCTCGTGATTAAAAATGGTAAACTTCCCGAGCGTTATTAAGTCCGAGAAAATTAATTGTATTAACTTATTATTAATTAGTGCGATCGTTTTTAGAAGACAAATATCAACAAATACAGCATTCAACACGGTTGATATTGACTCAGTGGATATTGCAATTAGAGTGGCCATGGTGCGTTTTTTTTTATCCGGCGACGTACTGGCAAATCTCACAGAACATTCGCGGACACTGAGACTTTACCCCAGACCAGTGGTATTCTTTCAAATCAACTCGTTTCTGAAAAGTCGCCCGAATCCGTCACTATTCACTTGTCAACTGTCTCGGACGCAAGCAGTAGATTATTTCGCCGAATGGGCATTAACACCGAACAACGTAGTATTCCAACGAATTCAGACAGGTGTCTGCGATCCGTTCATGATTGGAGATAAACTGAAATGGTTTGCGAATAATTTGGAACCTATTGTGTTTACCGTCTGGCAAGAGAATTGCATGATTCAAAACATAATGAACATCAACGAGAATTCTAACCGTCGTTCAGTATTCGGTAATACCACTTTAAACATACCTAAGAGTGAACTTCTTGAGCTTGGAAAAATTATGTTTCGTTTTAATTCTTGTCGTAGAATTAAGTCATCGGTCCGACAGTGACAGCAGTGACACTGGCAGTAGCGATGACGAGAGATCATCGCGTTACCACAAAGAATTTACAGGAAATGTCACTGGTGATATAATTAAAATAGGTAATGAACAGGGCTCGAAAATTGTAGCACTAAAAATGTTACTTTTTAGCTCTTAAATATGTACTTACAAATATTTTGGCTCATAAGCGTTTGGACTGATTGAATTATAAATTTAACAAAAATGTTAAATTAATTAAATATATTTGTAAAAGTATACTTATAATTAAATGATTTTATTTAGTCACTAACTATTAGTACATCAAATTGTCGATGAAAAAATAAAATAATAATTGATGATGTCTATTTATTTCCAATAATTGAAATATTTTTAAAACTATGATATAACTAATTAAATCATTATTATCAAAAAAATGTGATTATTTCCTGTATTATGTAAAAATATACCCAGAAATAGCACTATAAACCTTAAATTAGCAAAATAGCAATAAAACCTATATATATGAAAAAAATAAAAAAATTAAATTTTGTGTATGATATCCAATTAGTTTGAAACATATTTGTATCTTACTTTAGATGTTCTAGGATGAACCAAGATAAATATGTATTTGCTAGAACTTTCGAGCCCTGGTAATGAATATACACAAATTTATATACATATATTCAAAATTGCAAAATATTATATTCAATAAAAGTTTAATAAATTACATAAAAATTATTGATTTGTTTAGAAAACCGAAGGCTTAACATAGGACCAATAGTGCAAGGTGTACATTCTGCCTATGAACCTCCGATAACATTACAGATCCCAATGGCGACAGATGATAGCCCAGATGATGGTACCGTTGAATCGACGGGCAGCAAATCAAATGGTTCATCTCCATCCAGTAGCCATAGTGACATGAGCTCGCCTATGTTCAAACCCGAATCATTAATAGTTTGTATTTTTTATTTATATTCCAAATTAATTGAAAATAGTGCATGCATATTGTATCTAAAGCATTCAATACCTATATAGTTATCACGTATATATTAATATTAGAACGGAACCCCGTTTACATCATAACAAAATATCAGTAGTTTCACGAATAATATGTGATCTTATAGTAATTTACTTAAGACTTATACTATTATACTGTGCATAGTTAAGGACACCGTTCGTTTTGTACAATATTCTATGGGTTGGGTTAATTGTTATACACGTAGCATATGCACTTTTAACGCAATGTATAAACACAATCTTAAAATGCTACAAAAATCTCAAGTCAATTTGTTAAGATTAAATATTTCTTTGTACATTTTGCATCGAGATAAATAATATGACATGTAAGTATAATAAGTAATGAATATATTTTCGGAATTATTCAGATTCTAAAAAAATATAAGAGTGTTTCCGTAAATTTTTTTTAAATAATATTATGAAACATCAATAACTTTAAGACGAATGTTAACAATCTTTATATGGTTTTTAAACAATAGTTGACTTACTATTACCAACCAATTTCTAAGTTCTAATCAATTATTTAAGAACTATAATCAATTAACATGTTTAATGTATTTCATACTGTAAAATATTTAATTATACTATAGTTTTGTTGCTGGTAATTATTTTTGCACTATTCTTAACCATATATCTAGTTATTAAAATAGTAATTAATTGATATTACCTTGAGGTATATGGGGGAGGGAGGGGCAAGATTTCTATCAAACAATTAAGTGATTTTAGTAATTTGCTCATATATTTACTCCTTATGAGCCTAGAAAAAAAAACGTTTAGACCATCATCCTTGTATATTGTTGTATATTTATAAGCTAACGTTATTTTTGTTACATAAAAAAAACGTAATTATAAATACTATCCACAAATATATTTGTCAAATTGTAGGACATCGTTAGATGTAGTCAACTGCAACAACAACCATCACAATTGACTGCAACTGCTTCGGGTAACAAACTTCTTCTAAGCAGACATAATACAGGCGGTAGTGATTCTGCTTTAAACCATGTAGTTGTAGCACAAAAACCAAATAATAATTTTAGACCAACAACACAAACATCTACAGTAAGTTGAATCTGCAACCCAATACACACATCATTATTACGATTCGTTTATTTAATTTATAATTAAATTCAGTTAATTGCTTTATAGTTTTAATAGACACTATTTCATTACTTTTTAGGAATTTTATGAAACAGTACCTTTAACAGCAGAAAAAAAACAAAACATCATATCAAGTCCATCTTCGTCGAGAAAAGGAAGCCTGAGTAGTCTACACCAACAGTTGACTAGGCAATCCAGTCAAAACAGTTCAATTTTAGAACATTTCGCTTATCAAGCTAAAGAACTTGTTAGAGAAACAGCCAGACAAAGTAGTCAAGAAGGTGCTGGAGGAATATTAGCACATGTTGCAGACAAACTAACCACCCAAGCAAAAAAAGCTGCAGGTGAAGCTACTAAATCTGTACATGAAGCCAGTAAAACAGCATTTGAAGCCAGTAAAACAGCAGCAGGCGTAAGCAAAAATACTTTTGACGATTTGACATACGTCGGAAAAAGCACAATTGGTGACTTAACGAAAAGTGCAAAACAAGTTGCTTCCAAAAAAGGATTTAAGGTATTAATTTTATGATTAAATTTTGATACATTTTAATTTTAATGTTACAGTTGCAAATATTCTATTCCAAATAAGCTTCTTATATAATTATTTAAATGTATTTATGTAATATAAAGTCTTTGTTTATAAAATATTAAAATAATAATTTATTAAATCCTATAGTGAATATTTTAAAATTTCAAATATCGATCGTATTTCCCAACTCTTAACTATAATTTTAAATTACCATAGAATAAAATTTGTTCAATATTTTGCATTCTATGTTGTACTAATTTATCAAATAAATTAAAATCTATATGACATCGACTTCATAATATAATACATACATAAAAAATATTTATCAAATATGCATGCGTTCAATTCAAGGACTTAATAAATTAATATTTTTTATATAGGTTGGATTATTGAGTGAATCTACTTCATTAAGCCAGCAGGATCAAAGTTTTGATGATGATGATATTAAAGATTCTATGAATTCGTCTACAAATCCAGTTTCATCCAGTTCTATTTCAGAAATTAGAAAACCATCAGTAACATCGATGGGAACGGGTGCCACTAAAGATTTCTTTTCAAACATAACAAGTGATATAAATGGATTAGCGAATCAAACTTCAAGCATGTTTAACGATTTATTTGGTGAGATTTTATTTGTTTAAAATATCATACATTAAATGTATTTACATTGTTACTACTTTAATAAACTATTTAAGCAATTTCTAAGCTTTCATTTAATTTCATATTTATAAAAACTCGTCATAAAAATGTATGTAACACTCATATTTAAATGAATACTAAATAATTAAATACAGATCCGGGAATATAATAGATTTACAATATTTGGTTTTGTAATTACTTTCCTGTACTTTCCAGAGAAAACTTTTATGATTAACTGCTGAGTGACTTTGGGTATCAATACAAATTAAAATACTACATTTATAAATATGAACTACAAGGATTCCTTAAAAATTAATTACACTTGATTCTGGGGGAGCACCATAACATATAGCGCACTTTGTTAAGTTTTATATAAATTAATTAATTAATACTATAGTAAATATTTTTATGTAGATTCGCAAACTCAACTAAAAAATATAAATTTGCTCCTACCTTAGTTGATCTATTCATCCATATAAATTTATGCTGAATAAAAAATGATTTAGATCAATTATTATTACAAAGCATGTACTAAACAGGTAACAAGCAACCAAAAAATAACAAATCATCACTTACATTACCAGTGACTAGAACTAAAGAGCGAACATCTTCCGGATCTTTTCCGACAAAAGGTAAAAACAATTTGGTATTATTTCTTAATTTATTTTTCGAATACGATTTTAGGAAAATAAATTTCATAATTATTTTAATAAGTATACGTTAATGCACTGCACGGTCTGTAATTATGGAGACTGTACCGGACTAAAAATTATTATGAAGGATCGAAATTGGACCAAATAATTCTTCACCTGTTTTTATACGATAAGGCCAAACCATACAAATCACTAGTATACATATTTATTGTTAGACTATGAAGAATTTTTTTACAAGTATTACCGTACTTTCAAACATGGACTGGAACCTTGATGTTTTTACCGGTTCTGGTTTCGGTTCCGGTTCTGGCTCCGATTCTTAGAAAATTAAGAAATTTGGTTCAGGTTCTTAGAAAGTGCAAAATTTCGGTTCCAATTCTTAGATATTTAAGTTACATAAAAAAAATTTCAAGTTGAGAAGATTAAAAATTCATTTAAAACAATAATTTTGTCAGTTTAAAGTTGTAATTGACTTTACATACAATGGTTGTTTTTTAAAAATTTAATTGTAACCATTAATGAATTATTTAAGTCTTCTACTCATATTTTTTTTTTTTCACCGTAACCCATTAACAAAATTTTAAGTGTCCAAAAATTAATTATTTAAATAATAAAATAAACAACATTTTTAACAAAATTATTTTCACTTACTTTTATTGTGGAGGGATAGCTTATGGCGTTGTGTCGGTTGCTATTGTGCTAAAAATAAAATATTTTTTCCAATAAAATGGGAAATTTATAAACCATAGTCTATATTATACCGCATGATTTTATCTGACTCTTGTATGAATCTTGTATTATTGGGGTCATTATTATTAAAGCCTCAGCAGTCGGCCCACTGTGTATTTTCACCATTCGTCATAACCATTAATTACAAGAAATATGTTTATCAAATCTTTATATTTTTCCTAATAAAGATAAAAACAAAAAGTTCATGTTTATTGTTAAAATATTAGATAAATGGTTTTAGTTATATCTGTTGTAATTTTATAAAATCGAAAAACTCTGAAGAACCGAAAAGAACCAAAAATATTTTTAATTTTTTTAAATGGGTTCCGGTTCCAATTGCGGTTCTACGAAATAAAGAATATAGGTTCCAAAAAAGGTTTCAGTTCCTAAGTTTTTTCTTCAAGAACCAGTACCGGAACCGGTTCTTTCGGTTCCGGTACCAGTCCTTGCTTTCAAATGTTAACAAAATTATTTTTAAATTGTATATTATATACCAGCAATACGAAAAGTTGTAATATCATACATAAATATAGTGTTATCTTTTACAATAGTGTTAACTCCTATAAATTGTATTATTAATTCTTAAAAAATAATATAATAATAAAAAATTATTTTCACATATAAATCAAATTCATTTTTAAAATTATAAATCGTACAGTTATCATATAGTATTAAATACGAGTATTAAAAAAAATGACTTAAGTAAAAAAATCAAAATGAAAATAACTGTTTAAAAAAGATAAAAAAATGTAAAAAAAAATACTATAAATATTCATTTAAGTTTGTGTCATATTTTAGAGATAAACTCTAAACATGAAAGTTTTCCTCGTACCTATTTAATTTTTTTTTTGTATGCATAAATTCCAATTTTAAAATTAATTTGTCTACCCACGTTATGGTATCAAAATCAAAAATAGTGTACTGAAGTAAAAATGTTAGAATGTAGATTGTTGCCATAATGTTTTCAGATAAAAAGATCCGTGTAGGGGATTAAAGTATCTTTTATTTTCATGTAAAAAGGTTTTTTTGTACCGGAGTTTTGGTCAGCAATACATTTAAAAAATGTGTAGATATAGTGGTCATAATCGGATAGCGAACGATTTACCATTTTAGTTACACAATTGTCGCTTATCAAAGAATTTTTTTTATTTTATCCTAAAAACGAACAATTGCGAAGGTTTTTGTAGGCTACGTTGTCAAGTCTATATTTTTCTAAATATGTAAATATTTTTGAATTTATTTTATTTGAGAATTTAATTACATTTTTTTTTTTTACGTATTAGCTACTCGATATTCATAATAATGTTATATTATAATTACGTTACTAACTAAAATAAAATGATGCAAAATATGTGTTTAGTTAAAAAATGTTTCTTGGTACAAATATTAATAAAATAAGATAATAATATATAATACAAAAAATACTATATAGAACTAAAAAAAAAAAAAATTAAAAAACTTACAAAATAATAATTTTTAAAACAATTTCTCTATATATATTTTTTTAATTTTTTCCTGGGTATAAATTTCCAGTTTCTTGTAAGTATACAATTAAATTCTTGTGTATTTATTATAAACGTCGACTAATTCTAGATTTATTTTTTTGTTCATAGGATTATATACATTATTTTTAATACAATTTATTATTGTCAACGTTTGTGATTGTATTTGTTATAAAACTGAAATAAATAAAAAATATACAATAGAGACTTAAAAACCATGTGTAAAAGAATTTATGGTGTAAATTTGTAAAAAAAATGTTGGGGCATAATCAAATGTATCCAAAAAACTAATTTTGTGTTGTTTCTTTGTAGTTATACAAAAAAATTTGTCATTTTCCGGAACAAAAATAAATCGACATTTATTAAAAAAACAAAAACAATTTCCCACTATTTTTATTTTTGAATGTTGAAAACTTTTGAAATAATAATACATTATTATAATATTCTGATTATTCTTGACATTCTAATTTCTATTGTATTATATATCATGAGATTAGTGCTCTAAGTATCTAAACTTTTATTTTTAGTAGGTCGGAATGATTTAGTAGAAAAGTCTAATTTGATTAGACATTCAAACCCAAGAAAACTAAGTGAAACATCGAGAGTACCAAACAAAAAATCAATCAAACCTAATAGTCACATGGACAACGAAGCTTTTTTGAAGGATGTATGATTTTTATTAAAAAAAAAAAACCTATAAAATTATTTTTATTCATACTTCCTATATTTTGTACACTCAGGTAACCAAACAAATTCTTGATGGAGAAGGAATTGGTTGGCTGAAGCTCAGTAGATTTAAAAAATTGATGGAAGAAGAGGGTTACCGCAATTTAGTAGTCAGTAAACTAAACCAAACATTGGATAATAAAATTAGCCCTAGCGATCACATTGATGATGTGGTAATTATTCAGTACTTTTCAATACCTTTTTAGTTTTATTATTATTTCGTTGATCCGAATGAAAATGAAAAACATATAATTTTATAACAATAATAATAATAAATTGAAGAACCAATAATTTTTTCAGTATATCAGTAGACCAGTTTGGAAAGGAATGTTAAAAGCCTTATTAGCAATAATTCATGGATTAGAAGTGTCTTTTAGTAATCAATGTGGAGGTGGTCTAGCATCTGCATTCCAAGTATTAGAAATAGCTCACACTCACTATTGGACTAAGGACATGTCTATGACTGGTTTTGAATCTCAAGTAACTGTCCAATTTATTTACTAACAATTAAATTAAATAATATTAATATTGAATAGAATGATTAAAAATTTAGTGTTAACAAAAGTTATTCATTCTCGAATAAAATACATTACTAACTAAGAGCTTTTTTTTTAAACACCATTTATTATTAATCAATAATTTTGTATTCTTCTATAGCTCGTTAAACTACTTCGAAATAGATTTTATCAATAGCGATAAAACTAAAATATTTACTCGTTCAACATTCACAAAATAAAACTCAAATACCCAATTTAACATCATAATATTTTTTTATTTTTTTTACGTAGACATCCAGTCCATTTGGTAGTCGTGAAAATGTACAGTCACCTTTACAAAGTCCAAGTATTGCAAGCTCACCAATTTCAAGTGTTTATCAAGCATCTAGAAAATCTTCTCAAACTAGTACATCTGGTTTATCAGGTAAATATTTTCTTAGACATTTAATAATTTTTTAAAATGTTTCCATGCATATATCAGTTAGTTAACTTCACATAATTACCTATAGCATACAGTAAACATATATGTTTTATCAAAGTAGCCAATTGGAATAATTTTACAAAGCCGTTAATACTCGAAGTAACTTAACTAAATATTTTCTAAATATTAAACTTTAAAGCACTATTATTATTATTATTATTATTATTATCAATAATTATTCTGATAACAAATGTTTAAAAATTATTTTAAGTTCAAAACACTCTTGAAAAGTTCTATTATTTATGGGTTGGATACATAAGTAACTAATATTACTATATTGTAAAAAAAAATGACTGATTTAATAAAATCAAATTCATTTTGAATTTTTAATTTGTACTACATTCAGTTTAAGTTTATAGACGTTAACATCTTACATTGCTAAATAAAATGTAAAAATAGTTCATATTATATTTTATTTAGCAAATAGTTTGCAATGAAATAATTTTGTATATTATTGTTGATTAGAATGTAAAAACAATCCAGCTGGAAAATTTGCTCAAGATTTTTCATTAACAGACGATGGCGAAGGATCAATTACAAATAATTCTTCCAATGAAGTTTTTAATGACTTAATGAATATTGAAAATATTAAACAAGAACAAGTATCAACGAATCCTTTTTTGGGAAATGAGGTGAATAAAATGTATAAAACTATTTCATTATAGGCAATTTTTATCATAGTTTGAACTTTTTTTTTTGTCTAATTATGCATTATATATTATATATTATAAATGTATAAATTTCAAAAATATCAACTAAATAATACCTTACGTATTTATTTAGGGAGAAGTGGCTACTATTGGACCTGTAGTGGTGTCCGATGAATCCAGTTGTAATAGTAGTTCTGTATTAGTTAATAATCCATCATTTTATTTGAAACGGATGTCAAGCAACAGCAGTAGAAATAATACATCGTTTTTCCGAAGCGCTGTATCAGACAGTGAATTGGATAATTCGGGAGTTAGTATAATGAAAAATTAATATTTGAAATTAATATTTGAATGTGTATAGTAAATTTTCAATTATTTAAAATTTATTATTCATCGTTTCTTGTAATGGTTAATTACAAAAAAAAAAAAAAAAAAAAAAAAAAAAAAAAAAAAAAAAAAAAAAAAAAAAAAAAAAAAAAAAAAAAAAACGATCTAGTCAATTATAAACTATTTTAAATACCTATACCATTTACAGCCGAGTTATAGGGAAAACAATTTACTATTATAGCTTTTCAAGGTTACGAATAAAAATCGCACTCAAAGCATTTGGTCCAGTAAATCATCGCTGAGCGCTGGATTCCGATACCACGGAGGTAATCTTTTGAATACTGCATCTGGGTCGCCTAGTCCGGATTCAGGACGAACATATTTATTCGAAGGTAATATTACTCGTATATTCGTAATACCTGTAAACGATGACAACAGCTGACACTATTTTATAATAATTATTGACCAAATTACATTTTGCAGGTATACTGGGAAAAGAACGGAGCCCGATTTGGAATCAATTGAAATTTTGGGAAGATGTGTTTATCGATGCTGTCAGCCAAGAAAGAGATATGATAGGAATGGATCAAGGACCAATAGAAATGATGGAAAGGTATTTTCCACATGGAAATGTTCACGATGAGTTTAATATTATCGTCTTGTTATTTTAGATATAAGAATCTAAATCAAAGTGAACGGAAACGCCTGGAATATGACGAAGATAAACTTCTGTCAATAATGATATACAATTTAATAGCATTCATGGTCATGGTAAATGTTCCTAAAGAAAGTGTGATGAAAATCGTAAGAACTTTGGTTGGAAAAAGCAGAGTAACAAATTGTTACGCGACTGAAATAACGAGTTTAATGGCACAACTTTCCAATCTGGTACGTTATTATTTATGGTTAACATAAAGTAATCTAATATTTAATATTTACGAAATATCTTTCATAACAATACTACTTGAGCATAACAAAAGATTATTGTATATTCTTCTAAAAAAGTACTACACATAATAATTCTAAGATGTGAAAACTATTATAATAAAAAATGTATTTCCCATAAAAACTATTACATTTTGATGCAGAATATTTTTTAAAACTAATAAACACAAACACCCGCAGTAACATTAATTTAACTTCAATTGTTGGAATTTAAGCAAAAAAAAAAAAAGAAAAACAGATTACCAGAATCAAAATTCCCGGATGATATTTTACCCGAAAGGCCATAAACTCGAAACCTTTCGATATTAAAACCGATAAATTATAATACATAAAAAAATAAAAATTAATTAATAAAATTAATAATAACATAACAAATACTGTTGTACAATTATTAAATATTATAAAATCGATAAATTATAATAAATATAAGCGGTCAATGACTTATGATTGAGGCCTATTATTTATAATAAAAAAAATAAAAAAACATTATTAATATTAATAATATAATATTTATGATATATAAAAGAATAAATATAAAATACATCACTGTTCATTCAAGTAGTAACAAACATTTTAAATTAAATTCTTAATTTCGAGAATATCAACGATCAAGAAAAAAGCGTTCGGAAAAAAAGATTTCAGGTTTTTGGACTTTCGAGCAAAATACCATTCGGAAATTTCGATTCGTTAAAAACAACGGGTATAAAAGAAAATGGAAAAATGAAAAAATCACGTTTAAATAAAACAATTTACTCCTATTTCTTATTTCTCCATCGTTTTATTTCAATAATAGAACGAAGAATTTTAAAAGTATGAAAAATGTCAACGCTTAAATATCTAAGAATCGAGTAATTATTAAGTGAAAAATAATTTTAAAACATCCTTTGTTCAAATTACATATTGGTATTGAAATTAATATAGTTTGGCATTTACGATATAAACAATTTAATGGTGTAAAAATAATAACACTTCGATTATTCGCTCATATGATACGAATTTTTATTTAATTTATTTTAAAATTCGTATACTTTTATAAATTTATATATTATTTATGTAGAATGGAAATGATGTTGACTTGAAGCCGTCGAATTCGAGACAGGCACACAGGCAAAGTTTTGCAGTACACTGTGGCGATTCTTCGGGGGAACTGCTGTTCTTAGAGGTCAGAGACGACGGACTGGTGTTGAGATCTGTAAACGGAGTGATAGTCAGTAGATGGTGGTATGAGCGGATAGTGAACATGACTTACAGCCCTAGGAGTAAAATATTTTGTTTGTGGAGAACCGCCAACGGTGGACAACTTCAGCTGAATAAATATTTTACGAAAAAAGTAAATTATCGTTTTTGCTGTAAATATTTAAAAAACCTTGAATATTTAGTACAAATTTCTTCGTACATTTTATTATTATTATTGTTCGATAAAAAAAAATTGAGCTTCAGTTCAAATAAAAATTTACGAGCATTCAAACATTACATTTTTTATACTTAAAATTGGATAGAAGAATTTCCAAATGATTTATTTGTAGTAAAAAAAAAAAAATTTATAAGGAATACAATATGACATTTTGACTAAATCGGGTATTTCAATGAATTTCCATTAAACAATATTAGCTATTTATTTATAGATATTTTATTGTTTAGAAGTATTTTAATGAGGTTGGTACTGTTAATAGGTACTAACATTTTAGATTTTCCAAATTTTTCGATACCTTTTTTTACAAATATTGTTCGTTAAATGTTCAACCTACATTATAAAGAAATTCGATTCTTCTACCATATCAACAGTTTTTAGAAACATATCCTAATTCACCAGATCTTTTTCACTTAGAATCGTTTTTTTGAGAACAATGATAAATTGGTTTCAAGTTTAAAATACTAATACAGCAAACCATTCACCTATCCCCAAATCTCACCTGACTGTGGAGTTATATCGTTTTATAAATTTCTATTCGGTTTGCGAAATTATTTTTAATAGCAGGTCAATATTGACTGCACGTTATACCTATTCCTATAGATTTTCTCTGTAGTTGTTTCCGACTTAAGGTCAATAAACGTTAGGATAAGACATTAACTTCGTTCACAGACTAAAATTTAAATTATTAAAAAACCATATAGCTTTAATTTAATTTAATATTTTATTCCTATTGTAAAAATTCGAATACGTGAAAATAATAAACACGCAAACATATTTAGGGTCATAAATACCTTATTTATACGGACGGAACGGTATTCATCAATTGCGCCGAATTTGGAACACTACCTGTGCGCCAATATAATAACTACAAGTAAAAATCATAATGGCTAAAAATAAAAATTAAAACTAAAATCAAACTTATCATTCTATATTCTTGGTATTTACACTAATATTATATTATATATATATTTACACTAATCCTACAAATTTTGAAAAGTTCTTAGAGCCAATATTAAAATTAGTTATGTCTATTTTAGTATTTATTTTTTTGTCATAAATTTAGAGTTTGGTATATTTGTGATAACTAAGAGAACACGTATTATGATTGTTTTATGATTGTTGCGTTATATTATTTTTAAAACTTCATAAAAAACAAAAATATTTGGATGGGGTGAATAAAAATATTTTCCAAACGCCGAGTGAAATGCCTCACATACATTTGTTGTTCTTTCGCCTGGTATGTTACACGACCAAAGATTCGGGGGAATAGTTGCATTTTCATCAATATATGTATCAATGAGGTAATAGCAATATGTATTAACTTGAATATTGATCGGTGCAATAGATGTATACCTTTTTTCCATTCAATATTTTTTCTTTCTTTATCTGCGATTTTCAGCGCAATTTATATAAAGCCGGACGGAAACCCAGAAGGAATAAAGATTAACAACCATAGTTTGCACAAACTAGACTTTTAGTCTAATATAAGTTCCTATCAAATATCACAGTTCTATATTTGCTTACATTATACCAATATTGGAGTTGAAATCAATAAAATGATTTTCACTATCACTTTATCTATGAACTAAATAGTGTCTTATATAATTGGTAAACATTTGTTTATTTTAAAATCGCTACATGCTACAGTGCAAAGATTTGTACACCCGCATCAAGCATTCGATGGAAAAGGCCGCGGAAAGAGGACAAGGTATTATACCCGGAGTCGAATTAGGAGGAGAGTTTCCTGTCAAAGACATGGCTACTGGGGAAGGTGGTATACTCCAAGTTTGCATGGAAGGTGTTGGCTTATTATTCGCTGACAGCAAGGTAAGTGATTAATTTAATGCATGCCGCAGCAGCAATGATATATATTACTATTATGCGTTTTATTGTTATTACTATTATTAAAATTATTAAAATTGTTATTGTTGTTCTTTTTATTATTATTGTTATCATTATTATGAAACTTATTATTAATGTTATTACAGTTAAAATTATTATAATTTTTGTCATTATTTCCTTATTATTATGACTATAATTATTAATTATTATCATTATAATAATACATTTTAATCTTATTTTTATTTTCACTATTATTTTTTTAATTATACTTAAAGTTTATTTTTATTATTATTACCATTGGTAGTGTTTAGTTTAAAACTCTCCCCACTCAACGAATTTGTGGTTAAAAGAAAAAAAAGTTTACCACTACTTGTAATATGATGAAAGTTATCATATTATGATAATTCTACTTTGACATCATGAGATATATAATATATACATACCTATAATATATGTATGTAGTAATATAATTTTATGTTATTATAAATTTAATTTGTATAATATAAATGGAATAAAGGGTTTAACAGTTTAAGGATCACAATAATGCTGAAAATCTATTAGTAATTATTCAAACATGACAAATAATTTTTCTCTCACAGGATCTTACACGTTTTACCATTTCTTTAACTTCAATAATTAAACCATAAATTTAATTATTTTATGTACTCATACCACATATATGTACATTTTAATGATGAAAAAAAAATCATTTGTTCTTTTTAGTATTTGGAATATAATATATTTAATTTTTAAATTTACCTGATATCTTTTCTTCTTATAGAATTTTTCAAAATCCTAATTGAAAAAACCACAATGAACTTACACCCAAAATATTCCATAAAAAAAAACTATTTTTTTTCTTTTAACTATTTGGAAACTACACTTATATACATAGAAAGCTGTTAATTACGATTAACTACAAAATATTTATATTTTAAGGACCTCTCAAAATTTTCTTAAAATACTACAGTTGTGTAGAATTTGAAAAATTTAAAAATCACAAATACATAAATTAAGCTACAATACATTTGTGTGTTTTAATTAACTGTATTTAATTAAACTACTTATCTTATTCGAAATTCGGATCGTCGGTATAAATTAATTACAACCTAATACGAGTGTGCACACGCTCGAATAATAGTACTTTCATAACATTGTCGTAAATATGCGTGTATATTTTCTCATAGCTTTCTATATTAACCGCGATTTTAACAGAAAATTAGGCATGCGAAACTTTATATCTTTTCTGATCTATATATATATATATATATATATACATTTTTTTTTATTTTTTTTTATTTTTTTATATATAATATATATATTTTATTTTGTGTGGTTGTATATACATATATATACATATATATACAGTATGCTCTAGAGAAACGATGCCATTCAAAATATCTCTTTGACGGGTTCATATATTTATTTAAACTGGTTCTTAAGCGAATTCGGGAAAGGGACTGCACTAATTTCCGGATTTGTTTAAGGAAAAAAACACATAGAAAAATATGAATTTACTGCTAAATGATATTTTGAATGGGTCAATTTGTTTCTGAGACATATTGTAGATATATGAAATATTCAATATTTGTGGATATTTATATTTACATTATTTTTATTTTTTTAAACAGTTCAGAATGTTCAATACGCTTTATAATTTATTTATTTATATTTATTATTATTTTTATTCTCAAAGTTTTATTATACTTACACCACGCTCGTTAAAATATTATTATACTTCACACGTGTTTTAACGGTCAATCTATATCTATATATTTATATTAATATAGAGATATATCGATATATTTATGCATATACTAGTATATACAAATACATAATGTATGTTATATATATGTATACACATGTATATGTATTGATATATTCGTACGACAGTATAATGATGTATTGTTATCGCCTTTGATTGAATTGAATATTTTGTTTTATTTCAGTCGGAAAAACACGTCGTGTTGTTTTTCCTCCTGTAAACAAAGTTTAAGAAACTTTTGAGATGGTCCTCGGTCAGGTCGATAATAATAATTATCGAAACACGATAATATATACTAATTACTTATCTCGTGTAATACATAATGTTTAGTTGTGTTTTGTTGATTTTCAATTGTCCTTTTTTTTTTTTTTTATGAAACGTCATAACGCGATGGATTGTTGTCTCGTTCAGGACTTTGAGGTATAATAGCAACATTTAAGTTACAAAAAAAAAGTACGGTTTTGTCATTGGTAATAGAATATAATATAGTTTTGATTTCTTGTTTGCTAAATCAACCACTCTAGTGCATATTACGTATATACGATTGGACTGTAAAATATTTCGTTTTATTTTATTATTATTATTATTATTATTATTATTATTATTATTATTTTATTATTATTATATATTATGCAGACGAGTAGCGTCACTGTTTTTTTTTTTTTTTTTTTTTATTAATATTATTGTTATAATTGTTTTATAAATTACTGTTCCTCGATCGTTCTACCCTATACACACACTAAAAGAGAATTATTTACAATAATGCGTTTATCTAGGATTTTCTACTACGGGGAGCATGGCTGTAATTGCACAAAACATTAAAAATATAATATATATACCTATACATCTATATACATATAATATATTATTTATGCATAAACTTTATAATTCATATATACCTGTATACTTGTATATATAAGTACGTATGCGTATGTGTAAATGTATGTATACGTGTGACGCGCGTGTGTGTGAGTGCGCGCACGTGTATGTGTGTATGCTAGATATATAACATATCATCAAATGTCAACTAAATCATTTAATTAAATCAAATTAAATGAATAATATCAATGTTCACTGTTTCAGAATATAATCCGATAACAATGACGTGTGTGTGTGTGTGTGTGTGTGTGTGTGTGTGTGTGTGTATGACGTATTCGTGTATGTATATATGTATATACATATCTGTGTACATAAAATATAATATGTATCATCAACGTTTATTAATAATAACCATATGTAACGATTATATAATTATTTACAGTAACTGCCTGGCCATCTCACTAGTTGACTTAAGCTTTGATTTTTGATGTTTGTGCTTTTGTCCGACATATTACATTTCATTATTATAAACACAATATCAAAACAATATTCAACCATAATATATCTTAAGTATTATCACTGTTTACTGTTCTGTGTTTAACTTTACTCTATCGTAAGTGTGTGTACCTATAGTTTTACGTAGCTGCACCATTATACTTTTACATTAACTAGTTTGCGCTTACATTTTGTATTATACCCACTAGTGTACCTATATTGCATGTGTATTATTGCATCAAATCAAATATATATATATATATAATATATGTATATAAGTTATATCGTTAACTTATAGAACACTCAATATTTCTATTTGTGATATTTGTTTCAAGATTGATAGGTATACAACTAATAAAAAATCTTTTGAAATAAAAATCATTCATAATATTATAAGACTATGTTATAAGACTATATTATATTCATTTCGTAGTAACTAAAAACTACACGTATTACTCGTATCAATTTTCTCGCGATCACTGTAAATGTGGATAGTATAGGTAGTGGATGATTTACGGGGAGGTGGGGAGTCCATAGGGTCTGAACGCCAATTTAATCTTACATTATATGAAATTAATATAAATAATATATTTAATATGATGAAATATAATAGGTACTTTACATTTTTTTTTTTTTTATAAATTTATCATCAACCATCTTATCTTGTATTATTTGTATAATTTACGACCACCCGAATCATATTTTGTTTCAAACGTGTGATCAGTCATTATTTAGAACTACGTTAAAATAATTATGAACAACCATGATCACCAATTTTTTAATAGGAAATCTCGAACCACATATGACTTTTTATTGTACATCACTCATAAAATCGCTGTATTTTCGTTGGTGCATTGATATATTTATTTTTATTTTATCGTTATGACTATGATCGACCGCACAATAGCTGTGTATTATATGAATTGTATTCCATGATTACATTTGATATACTAGCATTGACTAACGCAGACAAATGGTAATCGAAAACGGGAAATCATACTTCGTAAGTTATTTGTTTTTATATATAATGTCTTCTAAAAAAGAATCATATAAATAACATTTTTTTTCAAAACCTACTGTAACGGTTGATTCATCTAATATTTTTCAAAATAATATGTTAGAAGAATATATATCAACTAAGAGACCCGTTTTTTCAATGATAACTCCTCGCACAGTGATATTAGTAATCCAAAAAAAAGTTGAACTACATTTTATAAATCCGTATTCGTCTTTAAATCATAGCAATTATGATTTTAGTTTATTTTGTAACAAAATACTTTCAAAAAATCAAATTAGTGACGTATTAAATAAAGTTTGGGCTAGGGAAATAAATTATAAGTTTCCAATAAAATCTATTACTTCTGGAAAAGATAAAAAAGTGAAAAATCTTAAATTTTAGTATACATGATTAATACGATTTCCGTGGTTGTCGTATTCAGCAATACAAGATGGTTCATTTTGCAAATTTTGTGTAGCGTTTTCGAAATCTTAAGGTGGAGTCAATTCACAAGTATTAGGTAGTTTCGTGATTAAAAAATTGATAACTGGAGACACGCGGTTGAAAAATTTAATAAACACTCGTCATTAGAATATTTTAAATAAAATTAAATTAAAATAAATATTAATAAATATTAATTAATTTAAATAAAATTAATATTTAATTAATATAAATTATATATTTACATCAATATAATACATTAATAAAATAACAGTCAACAGTTTTTTTAATATAAATAATGCCAATTGAAAAAATGTTATTTTTTAGGACCCCCGAAAAAATTGAAAATTAAAAAATCCGCCACTGGGTATAGGTACCTCTTAACTATACATAATATCATTATCATTATATTATTATTATTATTATTATTATTATTATTATTATTATTATTATTATTATTATTATTATTATTATTATTATTATTATTATTATTATTATTTTATTATCATTATTATTTTATTATTATTATTATTATTATTATTATTATTATTACTATTTTTTAATGAGCTATTATAAAATATATTTACATTCAATTGCCATTTCCGATTCAGTTAAACCACAATGCCCCCATTGAATTATGAAATATAGAATTAGTTTTGAGAATTAGATCAATATTAGCCGTACCATGATGAATGACTAAATAAATTATTATTTCTTATTTCTATGTATGTTCATATATATTATATATATAAATATAAATATATACACAAAATGTTCTTTTATATTTTTTGTACTATTCAAAATACTAACAAGCGGGTACCCATGGAAATTTTTAGAAACATCCAACATTTCAACTATTAGGGAATATTTGGTACAAACTCTGTGGGGCACTAGGTATATATATATATATATATATGTATCGATAAAAATATTGTTACAAGTGTAATATGTGTAATAATTTGTAAAATTTGTAATTGGTTTGTAATTTAACAAAATATAAATTAGGTGCACCATTTAAACCCAGTGCCGTTAGCGAGAGTAAAATTCAATATTATATATACATATATATGTATTATAGCATCACCGGCACACATAGTCTCCTCACTTAGATTTGATAATTATTAAGAATTAATTACGAATTATTTCATTTCAGTTTTTTGTTCGGCTTGATCACGTACGAAAATGTTTTACAGTCCAAAAGAAAATATTTGTTTTGGAAGAGTACAGTGAGTATACAATAAAACTATTTGCCCTCGTTAAGGCTATTAAAAACATTTAAACTGTGTTCCAATTTTAATTTGTTTTAAGATCCAAAAATGAAACATATTATTCAAAGGCAATACGAATCACCAATGGTAAGCAGTTAATTATTATATAGGCGTAATAAGTTGAAATAACTGTTTTAAAATAAGTATGATGCATGCATAAAGTTAATTGCATGGTTACGTGGTTAATGTTATTACATTAAAATGTGGACATTTTAAATTGTCTAGAATGAAATTAACGCCCAAAAGCAATTATAATTTTATTTAATACATCTGATATTGTTCGAATATATTATACACAATCAAATATTATTTTCCACCATTAAAAATAGACTTTAAAATTAATTCATAACATAATGCCATTTCTAACTAGAAATAGTCGCACCACTTTAGTTTCACACTTAATTTTGCTATGATTATTAATGCATTTATTCTAAAATATATATTTGGCGATTTTTTTGTATAGAATTAAGAACTATAAAATATATAAAACTTAGTTATCGAATGAAAATTATATGCTTGAAAGTTTTTTTAAAGATTGTCTCGGTAATATTTCAAAATTAATATTCTAAATTTTCAATTTTAACTAGTTTCAATTTCATACATAAACTCTCACAGTAACCCATTGATTAAACAACTATCCTCCACCTCACTTCCCGGTAATATACGTAAACAGTGGCATAGCCAGGGAGGTTTTGAATATTGTAACCCCCCTATTAGTTTTTATTTAATTTTTTTTTTTTAATTATTCAATTCCCTGTATACACGGCGTCGTTGATAGTTGACCGTGGTAGACAACCGATGGTGACCAATTATAGAACAATAAATTATTCATTTTGTGTTGTTCTTCCGTGGCTGATAACGATGCATACACATACGGTACGTTCTTATTTGAAAAATGGTACTTAACAATATAATAATGTGTACATAACATCACATTGATTATTAGACTATCGATATTCCATGTTATCAATTTATCACGAAAACGATTTTTTCTCTCATCATATGTTTGTATTCTTTTAAATACTTTAAAAAAAATAATGTTTCATCCAAATCAATTGGACGTATAGGCATAGGTGCAACTAGTGGGGTGCTTGGGGGTTCTATAGTATCACCAGTTAAAAAATTAATAATTGAAAAATTGTGTGAAAAAATAGTGTTTTTTTTATTTCATATAGTTATTTTTATTTGATGCTTTTATCAGAAAAATGAATCATTCATGACTATTAGTTAATTACATCGTCAGAATTGCTTGAAAAATATTCTACTAGTCGTCGCAAGATAATACCAGTATAAATATTATATGTATATTATATTATATTGTATATTGTATAATATTTTTTTTAATTTGTATATTTCTTAGTGCTATATAACCTAAATAAAATAATTTAATGAAATAAATAGGTATGTTACAATTTATACTTGTTAATATTTATGAATTAAAATATTTGTGTATGTGTGTCATGTTATGATACATTTAATAATTAAATTGAGATAAGGTACTTAGGGGGAGGGAGTATTGACGTAGTCCCCCAAGGATTAGTGCGAGTTATGTAATTTCAGCACCCCCAATATTTGGTCACTAGTTGCACCTATACGTATAGGTTCTTCATTAACCCATAACCGTTTGAAACTGTTATGTCCAACAAAAATGCATACTAACAACTTATATACTTGGACACGTGTTAAGTTTAAGTTTACCAATAAGTAAGTTTCTTCAGACAAAGAATATAGATCTGGTTGAAGCTATTCAAACCACTAATAACGTAGTAAATATAATTAAACAACTAAGATTAAATGATAAAAGTGAATTTAAAATTATATTTAATAACGTAAAATCTAAATGTGATGCCTTAAACATTGAAATATCTATTCCTCGTACAACTAATAAGCAAAAAGACAAATTCAATATCCAGATTGATTTGCCCGAGGATTATTACAAAATATCTTTACTCATTCCATTTATAGATCATTTTTTTTAAATCAATTAAATTGTCGATTTTTATCTCATAGATCTATAGTTGAAAATGTTAACGTTATTTTACTATTATCCAATAATATACAATATGAAGAAAAAATTAAGCAGCTAGTTGAAATGTATATATGGTGATTTAGATTGCAGTGTGTTAGCAGCTGTGAGTAAAATTACAATTTGGCAACAAAAATTTACAGAAACTAAAGATTTACCAAAAAATGCTATTGACACTCTTCAAAAATGTAACATATCAATTTTCCCTTCTACTTACAAACTTTTACAAATTTTAGCAACCCTCCCAGTTGCAACTGCCAACAGTGAACGATCTTTTTCAACATTAAAAATATTGAAAACATATTTACGAAACACCACATGTGAAAATATATGTGAATGATTTGGCAATGATGAATGTACACAGTGATATAATGATAAACCTTGATGATGCTCTAAATAAATTAGCGACCAAAACAAGAAAACTACGGATGATGTAAATTTTAATGTAGGTAATTAAAATATTATTTGACTTTAAATGCTTTAAATAAAGTACAAGAAAATTTAAAATAATATGTTTTATGTATACCTACCTATTGTATAGACCTAAACCGTAAATCCCCCATTGAAAAATCTTGGCTACGCCACTGAACGTAAAACATTAAAAAATTGTGGCATAGAAACCTACAAAGAAAAAAAAAGAAAAACAGTAATACCTAAAAACTACCTAATCAGATGACACTACCGAGTGTCTGCTCATAAATACAAATTTCCGTCAACCATTTAATATATTTACTCATTATACAAACTGTAATGTATAGATTAATAATGTGCGAACAAAGGCAAATTAAAAAAAAAAAAATTATAAATTGTAAATAATTTTCAAAAAAAACATAAATCAATTTAACCGAGGAAAATGTTGATAGAATATGTAAGCCAAGGAGACCAAAAAAATGAATGCCAAACCAAAAAGCTATTAAAATATTAAATTACTAGATAAGATGAGCATCACGGGCCCCACACACACATTCACTTATTTAGTGGCACTGATATTTAGAAGTTTCTGAATTTTACTTTTGAATATTTTATATAATAATATTACTTTTTATAATAATATTACAACAACAGATGTATTTAAGTATATTAAATTTGTATGGGAAAAATTATATTTTATATTTATAAAAATTTTAATTTATCATGTTACCAGTGTTAACTGATAATACTCGTCAATTAATTACAGCGACTTTGTCAATAGCAATGACTGCATGACTAAAAACGCATTTATGTTTTTGCAGTAGTTAAACAAAATATATTTATGCCATGTAATATGTATTTAGTATTTTCGAAGGTTATTATTTGACATCGTATTATTTTTATAGTAAAAATTGTGTTGTTTTAGGCTAGCGAAATGTTATTGTCTTTGCACCGCATCATGTCTATTGTATATGCGCAAACTTTGATGCTGAGAACGATGAAAGTCACGGAGAGCTAAATTATTATAATAATAAACCGGAATGTTCTTGTTTGTCACTCCTACATTAAGGTTTTGTTTATTATTTTGTTTTGGTTTTTGTTTTTTCATTTATTTCTATTACATCAGTACAACCGTGATCTATTTAACGTACGTACACACAACTATTTATTCATTATTTCTGAAATACTTTTATAATCTTGAACTCATATAAGATAAAATACTTTTAAATAAATTCCATAATTTTGGTTAAAATATTTGCTTATCTCTTCAGTTTTCTCAAACGAAGCAAATAAGTAGCATGATTACCCTTTCGAACAGTGAAACATTCAATTTTTCTCCCTGACCAATCAGTTGAGAAAAAAAGAAACAGAGCTTCAACATTTATATTATCTACTTAAAGATATATGCTTAAAACATTTATTGCACGTTAAATGGATCATACGGTATTTTAGCTTAAGCCCGCTTACTCGTCAAACCTAGGTTTAACTTATAAAACCTAGGGATTACTAATTTATTGTTTCTAGTATAAGCCAAAAGAATCATATGCATTTAAATGAGCTGAATACGTACATTAAGTACGTTCATAGGTGCCAGGTATGTCTAAGTTTTGCTATTAAATCGCTCAGCAAAAGTCATCTCGAACTTTCGTCTCAAATTCACATTTATTTAAAAACTAAATTTTCTAACTAGAAATAATATTAATTTTATAACCAACGAAAACAAAATTACTATGAGTTATTTGTGTTCTCGTTTTTCTCTTTTTTTGAAAACCTGGCGCCTATGAAAATAATATGCTTACATTACTATTTTACTTTACACGTTTGAGTTTATTTTTAAACTATTTTTCGGCTGAATGCGCTGATATTTATTGCATTTTATGGCTGCAATTAGATTCCACTCACAAACGTCATTAGTAAATTAAGTATGAAATTTGCTTTACATTTTCATTTAGTGCATTTAATCACTGTACTCCACTTAGCGGAGATTTATTTAGATTACATTTATATTTATTAACAATACAAATTACTTTTTCCATTCAATCCTCGTACAGCTCAATGAACAACCTTGTTGTAAATAGTACATATATAACACCTACATATGTATCATTCATTTTATTTTTAAGATAACAAACATATAAATTCCAACAATTATTACAATACTATTTTTCAAGCTACAATATCTCTTAATCGTTGTAAATTATAATAACCACATGTTAATAATCCAATTGATTAGGTTTATATTTCTTTAAATAATAATAAAAAAAAATAATACTAATTTTTAGTTTTTCTGACCTTTTAAGTTTGACGAGTAAACAGACTTTTACATATAAAATTACTATAATAATTATTTTTTTACCTAATAAATTATATATTTATTTATATAAAATAAATTTCCCATTAACCATTTAATCAAATAATGGATCGACAGTTATGACATACACTAATTATTGAGTTATATTTGAAAATAAATAAATATTCTAAACACTCAATATATGATTTATTTATTTAAGGCTGGACAGATTTGCTATGCGGTATTATGCGTGTTTTCTTATATCGCTGCTGGTCACAAACGGACAATTAATCAAACAAATAAGGATAAAACGCAGCGGAAACTGTCGACGGATTCAAGTGATAACAGAGCTGTAAACCGTGAACGCATACAATTTGAGTAGAAACTTTGAATAGTGACATCAGTATACGTGTAGCGTACGATGTTACTGGTATTAAAAAATACATCAAAGTACAGTAGGTATTAATTTAGAACCATTTAAAATATTTTTAATTTATTACACTATGATTTACATACCTATTGGATAAAAAATTTTAAAAAATTCGTAACACCATTTTTTAATTATATTTTATTTAAATTAATAGAATAGAAAATAATAATGATTATTATTGTTATATATTATGTAAAATAATTATTATCATTATTTTTGTTGTTATTATTATGCTATGTGTAAAAAATATCTAATAGCTGAATAGTTATATTTTCTTAAACTAATACAAATGTTATATTTATTGCAAATATCTGCTAATTATGAGCAACCATGTTATGAATATATAATTTATAAATATAACGATAATCATAGTAGGTAGATACGTTTGGTTAGGACTTTATTATAATATATAGTTGTATCAAATTTTGTTTTAATATTTTCTTTGTTAATGTGTTATAAGTACTTGCATATTGGTATACATAATACGTTTTATAATGTGATTCTGTAATAACAGATAAATACAAATGTACCTATTGTTTAACGTGGTTAAAGCATTCTCATTATTAAATTCAGTACTATACCTGTGATTGATAAAACTTGCAAAATATTTAAAAATTCACCAATTGGTAGATGTAATTTTAAAATACTCCTATAGATCAGTGGCACTGTTTGAATTTTTTAATATGGTTTGAATAGGATTTAACTATTGCAAGGTTATACCTATATACCGTTAATATATCAAATTAATTAAGTAAAATTATTAATTGACAATTTTTTTCTTCGCACTTAATTGTTCTTTTTGCTCAAATTTGCTTCTTTTATTTTTGGTAAACACTCAACAACTATGCATACCAATATTGTTTTAATTTAAACAGATGAACTTGATTTTATTATCTTACTTGTATGTCACTTATATTTTACTAGATAGTACACATTTCTCAAATCAACACACATTTCGAATTTTGGATTACAAACTCTTAATCGAGGTTCACTAAAAAATAGAAGTTGATACAATTGTTTGTAACAACCAGCTAACAAAAACATACTATTTTAGTGATATTTAAAAATATACTTACAGTAAAAGTCATCTGTTTTTTTTTTAACATTTGATTTATACTGTAGCATTTACATTATGTTTCAATCTTGTTTTTTCTCGAGCAAACAAACAGCTCCACCTTTTCTTTTCATTTTTGATATATATGACTAAAAATTAATTGTTAAAAATAACAATACCCACCAAAGGAAAAAACACTATCCAGAAAGTAGGAAATAGCTTTGATCGTACATAATACATATAATACATAACAATTATACACTTCTAAAAATATTAAACACTCGTAATATTCATAACCATGCGTTATTATATATTATACATTTATATTTTGTACGCATTATAATATTCATAACAAATAATATATAAATAAAATACAATATTCATAGGCCATCGTCCATTAGTGTGCAATTGTAAATTTTAAACTAGGTCAATAAAATACATTAAAAAAACGACACCGAAGTACATCCAGAATTTCTCTTCCTAAATGGTGCATCTGTTATAGAACCAGTTTAGAATTCTAAACTCAAACAAAATTCAAAACTTAAATTCAAACAAAACCACGATAATGGTAATAAGGATTTATGTAAATTATGTTTTGAATTGCCTATGATAATTTTCATAATTACCTTTGACTTTAAAATATTGTGGTCAATTTTAAACAGCGTTTCTATTGTTAATATTTATTTAATAATATGCTGAAGAATAAGTGTTGGACTAAAGTGAACTAAAATATTTAATTTAATTTAATCAATGGAAAATCATATACCTAGTAGTTAGTTATATGATTAAAATTTTATCCATTCAATTAAAAATAATCAATTATTATTTTAGAATTTTTTTTTACTCGCCATCCGTGAAATAAGATTTTGTACATTTTCAGATTCCATGCGAAGAAAGAGTTAAGTTATACGATAATGTTTTTTCTATTTCTTTTGTAATAATCTGCGGATCAGTGAATATCAATAAAGACTTTAAACAACTCCGTAGACTGTAACATGAAAACTACAAAAGTTAAATGTTAAAACAAATATAAGTGTCATTAATTGCGACCGAATAAAGTATTATTTTTTTTTAGCGAATAGACAAGTGGATACGCGATTACACGAAATTTATAAACCTGATTATAATTGTAGTAAATATCGATAAAAAATATACAGGCAAAATCAGTATATTTAAAAACTTCCGGTCAAGTACGATGAGTTATGTTTAAATGCTGATTAAAAAACAACGGTATGTTATTCTTATAATATTTATTTCCAAATAAATTTTTCTGACATTTCCGAAACGATAACGTATAAAATAATATCCCAATAATTTGTTATACAGTGTCGATGCCTGAACAAAATGTATTAGGAGAATTCACTTATGTAAATAAATATTGAGTGAATTTGCGAATTTGACTTCATAAAGTAATACATTTAAGTTAAAAATTTATAAAATTAAAACTAGATATATTATTAGTAGGGTCCAGATTTCAATGCAAAATCCATATTTTTTTGGTTTATCATACACAATGCTTTCTAAGAACATTATTCGTTTCATGTAACGAGGGTTTCAAAACTACAAATTTTATTTTGCCTTTTTTTGCATATTTCGACGTTTTTTTCATTTTTAGAGAATTTTTAGTATTATTGGGTCACTTGAATGCAATTTGTACACGACTAACACGGTTATAGATGTATATTGTCGTGTCTCGTGTATCACCGTGTTTCGATAGTTTGATAGTTATTACCGGTTGTAAAAACTAATAAGTTATATATATATATATATTGATATAAAAGCAGTGCTCGACTTGGCAAAATTAAAGAAGGGGGACCCTATTTACTTTAAAAAAAAGAACGTCCCTAAAACTGGCTGAGCGTTATGATTATAGCGTATTAATAGTAGGGGGACGCTAAAATTTCTGAAAATTAGTTGGGGTACTCCGTCCCCCTGCGTCCCCCCTCAAGTCGAGCACTGTATAAAAGGTACCTATTGCCAAAACGATAAAATTCGATAAAGTTTGATATTATGATACGACACCATTAGTTATATTATAAACATAAAATATGGTTTTATAACTAATAAATATATATATATATATTTATTTTTTTTACGTCCATTTGTCCTCACGTCTAAACGACCACATTCAAACGGCTATATCCATTTGTCCCTATTCATATTAAACAGTGTGTTAATAAATTCCCAAAACAAAAAAAATATGTCATTTTTTCATTTTTAAGTTCATTTTTGTGATAAAATGCATTTTTTGAGAACATTTTTGGCTATTTTTTAGAGCATATTTGTATGGTTTTAAGTGCATTTAAATCCGGGCCCTAATTATTAGTAAAAATGTATGTAGAAAGATCCTTAATAGGAGAGGGAGGTTGGAACCCCAACTCCTCCCCTGCGTGTGAGCTTGCTGCAAAGCATATTTAAGGGGTATCCTCACCGCAAAAACAAACAGTAGGTACATAATATAAATTAATAATCACTGCATTTTTTGTGTATCTCTATACATTTTTCGAACACTGTCTCCGTCAACTCAATAATATTGCAAATATGAGAACAACAAATTATAAGAGAATTCGGACTGCATTATTGAATACGAGTTTAATAACTTATTAACTAACTAATTGTAAATGTAACGATATTTAACATTTTATAATATTTAAAATCATACAATTCAATGAAAACTAATTGAATTTCCGTTTAATATAATCACTTGGTAGTGCAACGTGACTATTCGGTATTCGTTAAGAACAGCGAATGTCCACCGATAGAATTATCTAGTGCAACGGTTTAGTGCAGCTGTGCTCCGCAGAGCCTTAGGAGGTTCCATGGCTCCATAGGCACTCTGAATTAATTTAACTCAAATATTATTATTTTCCTTAGTTATTGAGAAATAACGCTGGTACGATTACTTAAATTGCGCATTGAATTATACGTTTTGTTCACCGAACACCCATTTAGTTAAAAATCAGACTTATTGATAAAATTTAGTTATTTCGACTTCATTACTCGATTGATATCTTCACAGAATTAAATAAAATTTATCAATACAAGATATTATCACAGTTTTCAGAGGAAATTACAAAATCCGAGCTTTAATGAAAAAAAAAAAATTAAATATTGGGCTGTGTTTTTCTCCACAAAAAATGTAAAGTTTCGACCTATTAAAGAAATATTTAGAATCAATAAATATTGATGAATTTGATGAAATATTATTACATCATTTTTTGTGTACCTATTATTGATGTCTCAAATAGAAATTCTTGATTTTTGAGGCTCCGAAATTTTTTTTAGAAATATAAGGGCTCCGCGAACAAAAAAATTTGAGAATCACTAATCTAATGGAATTATAGAATAAAACAGATATATCTAGTTAAACTATCTCTATACTAGATACTCTAAAATTCTCCGATTAATATTCATATCCCTGTTGCGGGACTCCAAGGGCTCGTCAATCACGTAAAATATATATTTATCAAATGAGCAACACAATGATGTTCATTAGGTACTTAAACATAAAATATAGTAAATTCAATATATACACCTGATTATTGGATCATAGCGTTGAACAATGGTGGTCCTAATGACAGGTGGAGATGACAGGTGGCACACACACGACGTACTTGATATTGCTCGGATTGTAAGTTACTATTATATGATAAGGTACTCGTGCTAAGATAGTAATTTGTCAACTGTTGTTCTATGCGTTATAATTGACTATTAATGTATCTGTATCCCCCCCCCCCCCCGTACAATAATATATTCGACATACGAGCCGATTTGGCTAAAAAACGGAGAAGTAGTAGACTTGCATAAAGTAGCCACACACACCCACACACAAATAACGAATTTGGATTACAATGATTAGGTAACGCATTTCAAACGTTTCGGGCCACTACTGTAAGACTGCATGTATAATATAATGTACAATATATTTGGTACACAACACACTCCTCCGATTTATGATTATATTATTATTAATTATAAATGGCATACCGGTTAGGCTCGTTTCACACTTATACGGTTCGATT